ATTGCTTATAGGTATTTGACTCTTTCAGGTTTGTGATCTGTTGGTTGTGCAGAAGCTTTTCGGCACCATGCAGTTTTTGTTTTTACCTCAGTCTTAGACTCTCCATTTGAACATTTGGAGGTCGGTCATCATGTACCGTACTCTACCTGGGCTCAGATAAATTAAGCCAAAAAAGAGGGTAAAATGCAAACTGTTCAGCATACTTTGAGGAAGTTTGAATGGAAAGTTAAATTTTGAGTTCGGGTGCTTGTCGCCAGGTCTAATGTCTCATGCTGTAAACTCTAGATTTACATAAATCAATTAGAGAGACAGTGTTTTTTTTCTGACCCAGTAGCACAAACATATAATACTTTGAGCCTACAGCACTAAATAGTTAGTGTAGCTCATTCTGTAGTTCTGAGAGACCAGTACTCCTAGACTGCAGATGCTTTGTTTAAAAATGATATAATCTGAAGAAGAATGAGTGGCTTTTTGTTGCCACCTATTAGGAGTAAAGATTTGGTCAGTTTATAGATGAAGATCGTCTTGATGATGCGTGATTTGGACAGAGAAAAGCCAGTCTTCTAAGAAGATTGAATTTTTACCTCTTTTATTTGTCCAGTAACGTAGAACTTAGAGTACCGGTCAGTTTTTTTTTTGCTGGATGACTTCTTTTCCAGAGCTATGCTGCAGTTCTAAACAATACAGCACTGTTTTGCAGTTAGCTTTAATAGACATTTCTACGTTATGTGCCTATGCAGCAGATGTGACCGGTGATTTATTTATAATTGCTGGAGGCTTGTAAACTGCCTCCTGAGATGTTCATTATTGCCCTGACTAGTCAGAAACAAAAGGGGGAAGTTAGTAATGCTGTTTGCACAGAGAAAAGCAGGTTTGCTTTGGAAGTAGGGTCCCCAATAAAATAGCCTTATGAGCTGTGCAGTAACTGTTCACTCTGGAATGCTATATGGTTGTGAGCAACACCTGTCTAGGGTCCCTTCCTATAGGCTTCCTTCCTGCAGCCACTTAATAATAATAGTAATAATTGCTTACACTTATATAGCGCTTTTCTGGACACTCCACTCAAAGCGCTTTACAGGTAATGGGGACTCCCCTCCACCACCACCAATGTGCAGCTCCACCTGGATGATGCGACAGCAGCCATAGTGCGCCAGAACGCTCACCACACATCAGCTATCAGTGGGGAGGAGAGCAGAGTAATGAAGCCAATTCATAGAGGGGGATTATTAGGAGGCCATGATTGGTCAATGGGAAGGGAATGGGAAGGGAATGGGAAGGGCCAATGGGAAATTTGGCCAGGATGCCAGGGTTACACCCCTACTCTTTTCGAGAAACGCCCTGGGATTTTTAATGACCACAGAGAGTCAGGACCTCGGTTTTGATGAGACGATGAAATGCAGTGATGAAATGCTTTTTGTAAGCGTATAGACATGACACATAATTACATATTTGTGGATTACAGATATTCTTTAGATGCGTTATATGCAGTATGAAAAGAGAAATTGTCTCATGCAAAAGTGTGGTTGCTTAGTCTACTGTGCAGTAAAAAGTTGATTTTTTTTGCTCCTCAGTCAAGCCTCTTTATTTTTCTGGAGAGCTCTTCTGGAATGGAGAAAGATGCTTCATATCCGTTCTATGACATGAAGGAGATCCTGTCACGAAGAACTCCCGGAATATTGATACTGTAGATCATTAGAGCAGTGCTGATTCAGTTTGTGATCGACAGGTTTTGTGTCCATTGTCTTGTGCTGTAGCTCATTCCTTTATGGATATGAATAGCTTCAGCATTTACTGTCCGGAATGGAATGAGAATCCCTTCTTCCCCTGTGCCCAATGGCTGACAGCAGTCCTTCAAGTGGTGTTCAGTCCTGGTGGGGTGCAACTCTTAAGAAAGTCTGTGCTAGCTGTCCCCAGGGTCACTTGAGGTGGGAGCTACTGCTGAATGATATGCAAGTAATGTTGTCCCAGTCTTGAGGATCTTTTCACTTGCATGTGATGAACAAAGTCTGAGTTGGGGGTGGGCTAAGCCTGTGACCGAGAGCTGTCGCCCAGTGGGAGCAATACAAGATGCTGGCCTCTCTTGAAGTACAGGATTGAGCAGTCATGTGCTATGCTCTGGTCTGGGAACGAATCGCACGGTGAAATGCAGTATTATTGTTAGACATATACAATAACAAATCTGCTTCTGTTTGCATCACTGATGATCTTTGTGCATGCATTGAAGGTAGTTTTTTTTGTTGTTGCTGTTGGATGGAATTCACATTGTATTGCACAAATATTCAGGTCCTTCCTAGGGTGTCACATTGTGTGAAAATGCTAAATGTTGCATTTACATGTTTTGAAACGTAATATTTTATTCTAAACCCGAATGCTCAAACCGAAGATCAATTACACTAAAAGCAAAATCTAAAGAGGAAAGCTGAAATATGTTATTTGTCTGTTTAGACCCTTGAACTTGATGCACAAACACCATTGCAGGAGTTACAGTGGCATGTCTTTTTGACAACTTTGTTAGGTCTGCTAACACCTGCTTGGTGCGGGTTTCACCCATTCTTCTTTGCAGATTTGCTGAATGTTTCTCATGTTGTTGGAGGATTGCTTATGGACAGCAATGTTCACGTTTCTCACATCCTCTCAGTAGGATTAAATTCAGGACTTTGACTGGGTCATATGAGGACATTCACTTTCGCATTCTAAAGCTACTCCAGGATCGCTTTGACCCCATGCTTTGGATCATTGTCCTGCTGAAAGGTGAAATTTTCTCTGTTTTAGGTCTGAAGCAGGTTTTCTTCTCAGATTTGACAGTACTGTTTTCCATCCATGTTCCTTTGACAAGGTACAAGGTTTTGGCAAGTTTCCTATTCACTGATGAGAAGCAGATATCAACATAAGGCTACCTCAGTCAATCAGTTATTTTCTGTTCTTTATTTATTATTTAGGGAGCTCTGCAGAATTTTCTTTTCACTTTGAAATTAGTTTTTTTGGCAGTCAGTGGCAAATCGAATTAAAATTAAATACCTTATCGTTACAATAAAATGTGAAAAAGTTAGAGGGGGTAAATGCTTTTGATAGCCACTGCATTGAAACAAACACTAATTGCTATTATAAAGTGTCATGACTGAATGCAATTAAAGCAGCAAATGTGAAGATTGAGCAAAGGTCTACACTGAAATTAATCTAAAAAAGGGGTGATGTACAGTCCCATAATTTTGAGTTTCATTAGGTTTAATAAATGAAGTCACTTGCTCCTCGATAAGCAACATATGTCCCATATTCTATTAAAGCTTTACACTTGTTAGAACTGTCTGTCAGGAAAGAAACAAAGCTTTAGCAACACTATCCTCCCTTTCCTGAGCAGCGGCTCAGTACAGTAAAAAAGACTACAGTTAATGATCTAAGAAGATCCTGTAGCTTCAGAGGACTTGTGTTTCAGTACTTCAGTTGCCTTTGGCACCTCTAGTTGCTAGGCTACCTAATAACATTCGAAGAGTTAATACAGGCCTGTTTACTCATTGGCTGGACAGCAGACTTCAGTCCCTGTGCTTTGACTTAAGAGGCCTCTGTAAACTCCAGGTTCTACATTATATTTCGAACTACTGGGAAAGAAGTCTTGTTTTGAAGGTTATTCTGAGTTTGTCTTTTTGTCGCAAGAGTTTTGTGAATATCGGTGTCCCTTTGGGACTTTCAGAAATGGGTTGAGGACTTTTAATCTGGCGAAGATATTAAAAAATATCCTATAATTGCCTCTAATGACACAGATGTTAGCACTTGAAATGACTCTTTCCTCTCCCTGTTTTTCCATAATGTTCTTGCAGCTTTTGGTAAGATTCAAGTCTTTTTCCATCCTGAAAAGGTCATTGAAAACACATTCTAGTACATTTTTCCAAATGTGTGTATATATATGTAAATGTGATACTGGTGCAATTGTCCATAATTCATAGAAATGCAGCAAATATAGTATAAATGTTTCTTTTTTTTGCTAGTGTAGAATTGATTACCCCCATTGCTTTTTCTAAATTCTTCTTTCATTCTGCAAGCACTGACTTTCTCAATCCTGTTTATAAAAATTTGTCAGTGTAAGAACTATGAAGCACAGTGGCACAGAAGTGTGGAGGAAAAAAGGGTTTTTTCTGACGAGCAAGCATGGGAGAGCAGCAGTTTGTCTTCTAAGCCTGTCCAGCTTCGATCTCTGAGGCTTCCTTGCATTTATTGCCTCACGCTTTGTTGCCTTCGTAAAAAAGTAAATCCCTAAGTCTATCAGAACATTGCCTTCTCCTTCTGCTGCAGGCAGCTTTATCAGCCTGGCCCCCCACTGACTCGAAATAGGCTATGGGGTTAAATCCTTCTTCTGTGTCTAAGCGTTAACCCTTTCCAGTCAGGTTTTTGACATTAAAATGAATTGTTACATCAGCTTTAACAAAAGATATGCTTTTGCAATTCAAAGTAAGGGTTGGTTCTAAGGCTCAATGTTGCATTTTCCTCATTTGTTTTTAAAATACTAGTTTCTTCAGCTACACCTCTTTATTCAGTGTTGGCTTCTCTTTTAAGCCATTTGATGCAGCACCTCTGCAGTGAGAAAGTACAGAACAAGACTTCTGCTGTGTTTTCTACGATCTGGTTAATTACCAAAGATAGATGTCAACTTCATGTTTTTACAGTAAGAAGCCTGTCTTGCAAATGACTGACCTAACGAACAAATCATAGGTAGATTTTATTTAAGTATGAGTACTTGAATTCCAGTTTTAACATTTTAATGGCAAGAACAGTTTTAGAATTGTTTTTGTTTTTAAGTTTTTTTTTTATTTAGAATTTTAAAAAATATTGGATAAGGATTTTTTCCCCCCTAATTTCTTGTAGAGGGCGAGCCCTAATATTTTGGACGCTTAGTTTATAGTTTCCACGACAGGACTGCTTCATTGAGTGCTGAAGGTTCTGGATGATAAAAGCTTATTGCCAGAGATCCAAATTTGTAACTTTTTTTTTTTCGCCCATTTGAACAGGCTTGTGGGACCAGATCGACTTGTGTGTCCGTCCCAGTGCCCTGAAAGGAGGACTGGTTTCACCAAAACATCTGTACAGCGGTCAGCCTTGCCCAGAGTCAAGCTGGACAGTGGAGACCTTCAAGGGGGCGAGAGCCCAGACTTTGTCCTGAGACACAGAGCGAGCACAGCACAGATGTGCCCAAGAGACCAAGAGACCAAGTCCAAGACCAGCGAACAGCATACAGACTGCTCCACGCAGCATGGGGTAGGTACATTTCCTTACTTCCTGGGTTTAACTTCCGCACTCCCTGAATTCATCTTGTCTGCGGCATCTGGGAATCGTCAAACCTACTTTGTTTTTTAAGCCGGCGTCACACTACGTGACTCATGTACCCATGAGAGCACGTCAAATTTAACAACTGCACTTGCCGATTCTCACTGCCTTTTCTGTCCTAGAGGGTGTCAAATTATCCGACTAGGAATCTCAGGGGGTGATTGATTACACGATTCCTTTTTCATCACGGTTCCAAATTGCACGGCGAAAGTACCGCGAGGTCGCCTCGTTTTGGCAGCCAATCAACGTGGAGCACCAGAGGAGCGCCGCACAAAAGTAAACAACACGGAGAACAAGCACGTAAACGTCTTGAAAAATGTAACGGGCATTGTTTTCCACAAATAAATGTCTTCAAAAATATCATTCTTCTTTATAAGTAGAACAAATTTACCAAAATAAAACGGTTAAAACCATAAAACACCTTTAAAACAAATATTGTAAACAAATTAGTATTGCGTTATAACGTGTAATATAATGGGCACATTATCTCACAAGTACACATCTGGCTAACTGCCCACCCCTTCGGCAACTCGCTACGAGAAAATCAAACCAGTTTGATTTTGTCATAGCAAGTCTCAGAGAGTGGTAGGGGTGCTATTAAGAGTGCTATGACTGAGTCGCTACGCAACTGACGGTAATGGGCGTGCGCTGCGGCTCTCTACAATTCACTATGATTTTCTTAAGATTGGTAATGAAGGCTACGACTAAAAATCCTTGGTAAAGTCATGTAGGGTGACATCCTTTCAAAACTGATGAAGAACACCAGCCCAGTAACTCTCCTCATGTGAAGATCATCACACAGCAGAAAAGCTGACGCTTGCTAAACCGAATTTAGTTTAAACTTGAAAAACCTTTCCTTATTTACACTTTCTACTTCTGCTGCTATCACTTAAATCCAAACGTAGTAAATACTACTATTTGTTGTGAAATGGTATACTGCTGGAATTCTGTATTCTGTTTTCAGCATGGTTTCAACCTGAAGCATCGGTGGGTTTTAAAGTCACCCCTAAATCAGGTCTATAAATGATAATAGATATTATAAACGTCACTTTACACTCTCATTATTCATGAGTGACATACTCTTATATAAATTGCACAGAATGGACAGTGAAAAGACAGACTTGCCTGGCTACACATTTTCATTAAATAGACAGTTTAGTGTCTAAATTGGACATTGGAAATGAAACCTGTTTTAAATAGGCACAGATGCCTTATAATGTAAGTAAAGGCTATGATATTTTTGAAAAGGAGAAAGATATTGTTTTTTCTTATTTATTGCTACTGCTTGCTTCTAGCTGATTTAACATCTGCTTTAAATGTCAGGTGCATTGCTTGTCTGGAGCTGGGCTGAAAAAAGCACATAATGTCACTTTACTGTAGCCAGACTTCTGTCTCCTTAGAGTGGGGACCCTGTCATGAAGCATGCACATGATACATGAAAGGGGCTTTGTGCAGGGTGTAACTCTGTGATCATTAAAATTCTCATGCCTGACTGCACGAGTCAGTAGAACTGGTTTTTCCAGTGATTTGGCTATCAAGAAAATCCTGTTTTGGTGGAAACCCTGCCAAATTGGCAGCCTTTTAGTTTTGTTTTTCTTTCTCACCATCTACTACAAACAGCAGAATCACCAGTACACCCAGATATCCACCTCTGTGGCCTCTGCTTCACCTTGCATAATTTGCAACGACAGTATGTTTGGTTACGAGGAGATAACTATGTCATTGTGATGAAGTTGGAATTAAATGATGCAGAAACCATATGAGACCACGAAGACTAAAACGATTGACTGTTTGTTGCCATTCATCTCTTATGGGGGGAAAAATTGAACTGTAAAATTACTATGGCAACCTAACAGATTTTTGAAAAAGGAAATTAAAAAGTGACAGCTGTTAGATCTTCTGAAATGATTAACTGATTAAAGAGGTAAATGACAAGCTTTTGATTTTAAGGTTGGAATTGTAAAAGTTCTGGCACAAAATGCTTCATTGGGGAAAAAAAAAAGTGTTATGTTGTTATGCCTAATATTCCAGTAGTTTCCTGTAGATCTGGATATAATGGATGTGCTGCAAACAGATTCACTAAAAGGACTACATGCTCATAGAACATATGTCTCCACGAAATTACACTACTTATCTGTTGCAGTTTTCTTAAAGCCTTTTAACTGAAATCCTTTGAAGACTTGAAGTGTTGTCCTCTTGACTTTCCCTAGACTTGGGAAAACGATACGAACTGTTGTTAACTTGACTATTTTAGAGTAAAGCTAACAGCAACGGTTTAGGTACCTACAATCTGTTGATCAAACCAGGACTTTATAACTAGGAAACAGTGAGTACCGCATACAATCAGGACTTCCTGATTAAACTCTGCATTGGTTTTACTCGATAACAGAAGTCGGAGTACCAGTGAGCCTTAAGAGAGGCCAATGTGGCTCCAATTGCTGTGTTTAGACATGTATTTAATTGTTTTTTACATGTGCTGCTTTTGCAAGATATCTGCTCTTTGAGTTTAAGAAGTTATAAAGACAGGTAAAGTGAGGTGGTTTTGTACATATTTAGTGCGACTTTATCTGGGTGTCTTTCACTATGGTCGTGACTGTTTGCTTTGAATAAAAGCGAAGTTCTTTGCTTGCAATGGGTTTATTTTGCTTTGCATACTGATACAGCAGAGAGATAACGTTTCATGAAAACGGTCCTTTGGTAACAAGAGTCCAGGAAATATGATCTAGGCTGGCATTAATTTGCAGCAGGCCAAACTATCCTGCTGCTGTGCATGAATTAATATCCTGTACAGCCACTGTTTCTGTGTAAAGCTATACACAAAGTGTGCAAGATTTCCTTTGAGTGCTGGTGTTTATCTGCAGTCTGGTTTTGGTATTAAATTTTAAGCAGCCTGGGCTCTGTTACAGTAATATTTCATTAAGTGTCAGGTGGTAAGAGATGAAGTAGCACCTTTTACTATACTCTTGTTTAGCGTCTTCTGATGGATCAGGCTGAAATTCAGTAGGGCAGTGTTGGGATACATTATCATTGAGTCCCGTATTCTCATTATTCGGATTTCTTTATCGCAGAGTTCTAATACCAGGACCAAGGCACCCCGTTGTAAAACATTAATTCCCCCCGTGTTAAAAATTAATGTTAGCTTTGGTAGTTTTCCACACTGGGAGTTTAAAAATGCTTAAAATTGTTTTGTGAGTAAAGTGACCCAAGCCTGGAAAGTTTGGTATGTGGTCACAACTGTTGTGTCTGAACAGATTGTATATAAGATGATAAACCATAAAAAAGATTAAAGATTCTGCATATTGAACCAGTGCTGTCTATTGTAAATGTAACTTTAGTCCAAGACGTTCACTGCCAATACAAGGGAAGTTGCCTCCATGCAGTGAAAGTAATACCGGCAACCAAATGAGCTTTTCTTTAAATAGAATTTAAAACAAGGAGCCTATTGCATCATATCCATTATTTCATTGCCTAATGCCTGTTTTTTATGCCTGACTGCAACTTGTATCAATTATTTTATTATTGAGATTGATTGTTTCATACATTTTCACATTTCATATTTATGAAGGTTTAGAAAGCATCTCTGATGAAAACGTTTATGCTCTATGTGTTTCTGTTGTCTAGTGCCCTAGAACTATTTTTAACCTTAAAATGGTAATACATCCATAAAATCTTTGGAAGAAAGTCGTTTTCTTAAATCCCTTGATTTTGAACGGCGGTGGACTGTGTCTGAGAGAGTGCTGTGTTCTTAATTTCTGGAATGTTCTGGTGACTCAGATTTGCACTCAACATTGTAGATGTCGTCAGGCTTGTTTTTCTTTCTCCCATATTTCACTGTGTTCCTACAGCTTGAGCCAGACCCACTCATCAGCTGCATCAGACCCTCTGGGGAGCTCCTTTAAGAATTCTCCTGTCGGAACAGTTTCTGGAGTTGTTCTCCTTTGGAAAATGCTTTTTTCGGGAAATGTTATTTTAGCTGAAGGAGTTCTGCCCTACATCTACGAGGATGAAGCTGAAGGAGAACGGTCTGGCTGAAAGTTGACAGGTTCTAATTCAGGTCAAGAAGGGTGTTGAGGAGCAGCAGTGACCTGATGTGATTTATCGACAGAATGACCAAATCAAGCTGCACCACACATAATGTATCAAAAGCAGAGAAAACCTTTTTACAGGTCTGTTGTTAATGCATGTTGCTTTTTGCCTCAGTGATGTTGTTCCCAGGGCAGAAAGGTGGTGCACTAGTTAGCATCACTGTCTGGCAGTGCTGGATTTCATTCCTAGGGTGCTGACTGGGTAGAGTTTGTATGTTCTCCCCGTGTTCACATGGGTTTCCTCTGCTTGCTTTGGTTTCCTCCCATGGTGCAAGGACATGCTGGTAGGTTAATTGGCGTGTGTGTTTGTGTCTGTGTGCGCCCTGTGACAGTCTGGCCGGGATATATCCTGCCTTATGCCTGTTGCTTGCTGTAATAGGCTCCTGCTCCCCTGAGATCTTAGAGCAGTTTGAAAATTGATGGATGTCGTTCTCAGACATGTAAAATGGAACTTTTATTTGCAGCTGCTAGGCTTTTATTCTGCAATGGCCTGTTATGAACCACACTGGTCTATACTGAAATGTTTGGTTCAGCAGAGATGCTGACTTTAGTAAACCAAAGTCTTTCCATTCGCTTCTGAACATATATGAACGGAAGCATTGCCCAGGGTTTAATTTAAGATTAGGCTCTCTGTTGAAGTGAGTCATACTTGACATCACTGCCGTGTCATTGCGGAAACCAGATAATGTCTTTATCCACATTTTTTACTCTTAGCAGATTTCTTCATAAACTGCACAGAATTCTGAAGCGATGACGTCAGCAGATGCATAGTAATGCCATTTGTTAGGCGTTTGACTCCAGCATTAGCTACAAATAGGGATATGAAGGGATAAAGATCTGGACCAT